TACACAACACCAGCACAGAAAAATTCATATTACAAGAACACATTGGTATTGAAGGAACCAGATACTGTTCCGAAATATCACTTACTGAAACCGTCCTGACCGCGTAGCTCAGTTGGAAGAGCATTGGGCTAGTATTCCAAAGGTCGTAGGTTCGAATCCCACCGTGGCCGGGCATATTTTTCAAGCTCGCCCGGTGTGGATATGCACTCAGAGTAACATCACAAACATATTATTCACCTGAGTACACAACACCAGCACAGAAAAAATTCATATTATAATACTGTAATGTAATTTTGTTGCATGGAATCGGACAGGTTGCTGTATTTATAAATACCTGCCCAATAATAAGCCTATATGATACAGAGGGGCTTATATTTGGGAGGGGCGCTTTACAGACATTCCAACTACTGGAGGTAAAATTTAGGGAGACTCATGTTCAGTTAATTGAAATCTAGCTCTTCTGGGAAAAATAATAAAAATTAAGTCTTCTGAAATGGTGTTTCCTGCATTTTGGGACTATGTTGCTATAAATGATCCTATAAATTGCCCTAAAGTAACTTCAAAAAAGGTCCGAGACAGACTATTATGTTGCTAAAAACAGTATATTTATAATTTTTTTATATTTCCTGAATATTCTGAAAAATCGGGAGAATTTGACAAAAATCGGGAGACTGCATGAATTTTCGTGAGACTCCCAGTAAAATCGGCAGAGTTGGAATGTCTGGCTTTAATATATTCGGAATGGCCTGAGCATTACTGAATATAGTGAGGGGGCTTATACTTGTGGGGCTTATATGATAGGGAAATTTGCCTGATTATTGAATAAAGCATATGTGGTACAAAATTATATATTTTGCCAAAATTTGATATGCAACAATACTAGTCAATTTTAAGTGTTACTACAGTATAACAATTATTAATTAACCCATTGAGCCTAGTGCTCTCCTCAAGACAGGTAAAACCATCTGGCATTAGACAGATTAATATAATAAGATAGGGCACATTGGGGTGGAATACAGCTCAATTGGTCAATTAATACTACTAGTCATACTAATTAGTTACTACTAGTTATACTAATTAAATACTAATTAGTTAATCAAAATCAATTAGTTTGAATTCCAACAACATAAACATTTCCAAACTTGAACTTTGTTGTCGATTCCAAATTTCTTCCTCCATTCCTCGTAGTGTTTATTTATGGCCATTTCAAAAACTTCGTTAATTCCTTCGTTAGTAACTGATGAACACTCTACAAAACTCACAGCACCAATTGATTTTGCAAGTGCCTTCCCTTCGTTAGTCGTCACACACTCCGACTTTCCATTACAATCTAGTTTAGTAGAGCTGAGATCTTTTTTTAAACCAACCAGCATATATGGTTTTTTCGTCAGGCTAGCTTTAACTGCTTTAACCTCAGGCCACCATTGGCTAGAAATTTTTTCAAAACTCTGCCGAGAGTCAACAGAATAACACAAGATACTAATTTCAGAGAACATAAACATTAACGATCTCCTCTGAACATCATCAAAATCCTCTAGGCCTATTGTATCATAAAAAATCATCTCTACAGGCGTATTAGCAATCTTCGTTAGTTTATAACGAGCATAACGAGACACTGAAGTAATCGATGGAAATTCATCAGCTTGGTATGCGTCAATGAGGGACGTTATGCCGCAGCCTGCGTCACCGACAATGTTTATTTGTAGATACAAAATATCACCATTGTCCTTCGACTTTTTTACATCAGGATTTTCTAAAGTATAAAGGTTATTGTGAAATATAAAAACTTTAGCTTTGAAATTTGAGGTATTCCCAGGCCTGAAGTATTCCTGTTTAATATTAAAACATCAGGTTATATATTATTTACAAACATACTGACATACCATTGTAGAAAACCTCTTTATGACTTGAAGGTATTTCACAATACACACACATTGTTCATTTCTTAAAACCAGAATGCTTTCAAGCAAATATTTTTAGTGAAAAAATAAAATTACAACATAATTTTGTTGACTTATAAATTCTGCCATTTCATCATTTTGACAGACTGATATTGACTTGCCATGCCCACTTACTTCATATAAGCAAAATGAAATGGACGGCAATGGTTTAACCTTGCATAATTATAAATTCATTAGAACTAATTGATATGCTAATTAGATTCCAAATCCATGCTAATTAAGGTCAATTAAGGTCAATTAAATTTAATTAGGGAAGGGCGACCGCAGACAAACAAATTGAAGGCTCGCGACAAAAAGACAACAATTATTAAAAATTCCAATATACTGTCAAAGTCGGAAAGGGTAAGCACAGTAAGTTAGTTTTTTTATTTATTTTTTCCTTTTTACTGCGAATTTTTCTACATAATTGTGCATAGCGAAAGCTCGTATTGTACTTATAAAAGAGTAAAAAATTTAAGGCGATCGGTTGAAGGTGTTTCATAAGAATTTCGATTTAAAGTTCGTTTACAAATATATAAAGCGATACTAAATTTTCAACGTAGGCTATTGTTTTGAAGAATATGTATGTCTCATCATTCCCAATATAATTTCGCGGTTTGTAGTATTATATTTTGAGGCGTTGAAATAAGAAATTGTTTCGAGTTTGCATTGTTGTCGAAAAGTCAATAGTCTGATAGACGTAAAAGCCTTCAAAAGTAAATATTTGAGATTAAATTGACCGATCTTTCGTCTTGTAGCGACGCTTTCTACAGTATTATTTTTGAACAAAAAGTACTGCATATATAAACTAAGATATATGTGAAAGTCGGGGAGACAATATGAAATATTTTCCCACCACACAATAGTTTTTTTGACGTATATAAGTCCTCGATATTTACTATATCCTGACAGTTCTTAAATAAAGGACTCTTTGTAGGGAAACATATTTTATATTCCTGAACTTCCGTTGGATTAAAAGAACCCAAGGATTATAACATTAAACCGTTTTAATTTTATTGCAGTTTAATATCTTTATTATTTCATAATAACTTTGGATCGTTGCGGTTTGGATTAAACCATTAATAAAAAAACCCAGTTAAGTTTTACTCTAGTTTACAACTTTACATTATACTGTGTGGGATTTGAACCGTCGATCAATATATAGCACTAATGCTCTTAGTCAGCTGAGCTACTGGGTCAAGTCGATATATTCAGGCAATTTTGGGTGTTATTATTTCTGCCTATTTGATCAGGAAATCATGCAGAGAGCATTGTCTGAAAATAAGTGGAGCCAAGGTCTATAGTCGTACAGTTAAATTCGATTTTAATTAAAGTTAATTAAATTATTAACACTGTGGCTTAATGCATAGTATTATGCATGCGTACATACAATATTCACGTAACTTTTATGGACAATAATTTTTTTGTACCACACTCTAGCGCCTACTCTAACCCTAACCATTCTGGCGGCGTCTTATTTGCAGGTAGAAAAACTCTTACACAATACATTTGAAATTCCACTCCCGGATACGACCCGGGCAATAGCAAATGCAGTGGCGTAATATTATATCAGGGGGCCCCGGTTCAAAATTTATCAGAGGCCCTGGCCAATGTTTTTGCTCTATCGCCTAAGCCTGGGGGCCCCCATTTAGCCCATTGGGGTTGGGGGCCCCCCGGGTTCTCCCAGTGTGAGCCCATAGTAATTACGCCACTGAGCAAATGCAAGGCAAGTGCCTTGACCACTCGACTAACTGAGGAATTGCATGTTTAAAGAACGAGGAAAACAATTTTGTTGGATCTATAGCCATATAACTTAAAGTTCCGGTGTCGACACAATAACCACAGCATAAACATTAAATACCCGGTCTACACTTTTCCATCTGAAGTTAGACATATTACAATGAAATTGCAGCTTATTATGGATAATTTTTTCCTAGAATAGTTGAAACATAGCAATGGCAGCAGATTACATTGGGTTTGCAAACCTTCCCAATCAAGTTCATAGAAAGTCAGTGAAGCGAGGTTTTGAATTTACTTTAATGGTAGTTGGTAAGTGAAATGACTTGTTAACCCATTGACACCAATTAAACCCTGCCCCTTGACAAGTAAAATTGTCGGATGTTAGACAGAGTAAAATAATAAACTAGGGCACGTACATTCGGGCTCAATGCAAGACGCGAAAGTCTATAACCATTTATTGAGGTCAATGTAGCTCTTTCTCCTTAGTTATTTTAATTACGAACATGAGTAGACATCCAATCAACTGATTGCACCCAGGTCCAGTGGCAGAAATCTCGGTGGGGCAGGGGGACGGCCGCCCCCCCCCCCACCTTCCTGGAAAATGACGAATTTTCAGAAATTTTTACCCATAAGAGGGCTAAAAACAGCCTTTTCTAGTGCAAATGGGGGGGGTGTCGGAAATTTGATAGTTTTGTCGGAAATTTAGAAGGCTTGCCCCCCCCCCAGGAAAAAGTGAATTTCCGCCACTGACCAAATATATGTTTAATTTTGTTGTGGCATAAATTAATAAATAGTCCACTTTATATATATTGTTGTAAAGTTACATAATTCAATCTTTCAGGTGAATCTGGCTTGGGAAAATCGACTTTAATAAACAGTCTGTTTCTTACCGACCTATATTCAGACAGAGATATTCCACCCGTATCAGGTTTGTTGATCTTCCTCAATGGCAAAGTATTAAAATTTTTGACAATTTTCAAAATTTGTTTAGTACTTGAAATTCTTCAATTCTTCTCTCCTTTCTCCATTCTAAACTTTCAAACAAAGTTATATTTTCCTCAACCTGGTCTACTTTATAGCCTGGTTATTTTTTTAAAACAACATACTATTTTGTAAAACTGATTTGGTTATTTAAATCTTGAAGTTATCTGTGAAGAATGAAAGTAGTGATACATTATAATTTGGTTACAGAGTTCAGTTGTGTTGCTATATCTAATTTGGATGATTTTAAGACTCCCTCCCCACAGTCACTAGCGCAAAAATGTTCTGAAAGCCATGGCATAAGATTTTATCTTGTTTTTTGTTCCCATCCAGAGAGACTCAAAAAGACAGTTGACATTGAATCATCGACAGTTGAAATAGAAGAAAGAGGCGTCAAGCTAAAACTGACGGTCGTTGATACTCCTGGTTTTGGTGACAGTCTCGATAACTCTGAATGGTACATAATGAAATTTTCAAACAACTTTGTGAAACAAACCAAACTCCCTTTACTTTGACTGTTCAGGTCATAAATCATAATTATCACAGCCAATGTCTGTTTGGTCATGGTCACTGGATAATATACAGCAGAAAGCAGTTTACTCCACAAAAAATTAACCTTAACTGTAATTTCTGTAATTCAAACCGAAAGCATCCTATGCTGACATGTCACTGCAGTAGGGATGTGTCGAATACTGCATTGCCGGAACCAAATAATAACTGGATACTGATGGTGGTACTTGGACAATACGTCATTAACTTTTTGTCGTAAAATTGTCCATTATCTGTTCAGTATGTGGCACACAGATCATCCAACAATATACAACAGAGTTACAGAGAGCAGTTTACATCACAAAAAACTTAACCGTAATTTCGTTTTAATGTGTCACATGTCTGGTAGACTAGTTGTTTGTGTTTCACAAAATCTTAATGCAAAACAGATGGTTTTGTGGTTATAATAAAAGTTCCAGTAATATCCGGTAATTATTTGTCAAACTTTCTACTGGATGTCTATATTTTGCTGGTTACTCCGATACTGGTAGCCAGATCCGGCACAATCCTTAGACTGAGGCAAAATTCTAATCAAAACCGAGTCACAGAGGTTACACGCACACTTCCAGCATATGCATGTACCACATTTCTCCCCCAAAGTTTCCCTCCAGTACAATATCTAATTATTTTTCAGTTACAAACCGATTCTGGACTATGTCAACAATCAGTTTAACACCTATCTGAAGGACGAGTCTGGGCTCAATCGAAGAAATATTGTTGACAATCGAATTCATTGTTGTTTTTACTTTATTTCGCCCACCGGGTAAGTCGCAAATGAAAATGAAAAAAATACTGAAATAATTGGCAAATTTCAGTAAGCAAGCAAGTGGGCTAGCAGATGATGGCAAGTAATTGACACTAGTTTTACCAGTTTTAACTATTGCTAGTTGTATCTATCTAACTGAATTTTTATCTTATTCACTTCTTATATTGACTTTTATATAGTAATTGTAAATAAACTTAAATTTT